TACGTTTGGCGTGCATTGTAAGAAACATTTATTAAAAAGTTTTTTAGGTGAGGTGATTTTTTAAATTCTTTTTTTAGAACGAGTGAGAGAGCCATAAAATACTTTATCCTGAAATTGGCAAAAAATTAATACAATACATAAAAATGCTAAAAACACTCAAGCCGCATCACACTCGCTGCATCTTCATTACAAAGACACAAAAGGAAGAGAAAAATTTCTGTCCCAAAGATGCACTTGAAACATCATTTTTATCTCTCGATTTTCACAGATTTCTAACTCAATTGATTTGTTTTTGTGAAATTGCCCACGAAACGTTGGCGCTACAAACAGCTTACAATATCTTTTTAACGCCCCATTTCATAAAAAAACCACTCGACGCGAATCTCAAAATACACACACACGCACCCAATCAATGCACTCATCGAGAGAACTCCCTTTCTCTCACGCCTCGAGCTCTTCGATCGACAGGATAGCGAGATCGCATTAACGAGATTCGCCGCCTCCACATGCACGATCCAAATAATTGAATATCTTGCAAAATTCGAGCGAGCACCCGAGATAAGATCGACCTTCGCTGTACCTGGCACGTGCGCGCGCGACAAACCCGAAGCAGCACAAACGAAGGGAAACGTCTTTCAACGCGCTCTCCCCGATTTTTCGTTTACCTGAAAATATGAAAGGATCCTCTCAAGGACTCGTCTTTTTCGACCCAAACGTATATATATTTCAAACTTTGCCCTACACCTACCACCACCACCCGCCGACTGGCGCTCAAAAACACCTTCGGAGAAACGGAGGAGGAGCGAGATCGGTATTATTTGTTGTTGTTGTCCATTGGAGGGGTGTGCAAAATTTATGAGATTAGAGGAGACTACTCGGTACAGCGGCTATGGAAAAAGCGCAAAGTGAAAAACAACCCGAGGGCAAAAAGTTTTTCTCCAGAAACGAGCAGACATCCGTGTGATCATATAATATGTATTAATTTTTGTTTGTAATGACACATGCAATCAAAGTAACCGAGTACGGAAATGGATACACAGAAGCATCAATATAGCATTGATATAAATTTTAATCTTTGTATTTGTATGCATATATTATACATAGACATTCTACGCTAGCATAACTGTAGCGATCGTGCACATGGTAACTCGATAATGACCAATATAATCAACGTATCAGTACAATACATAATATAATATTATAGTAAGGCGAGCCGCAATTAAAAAGTTATCGTTTTGTTTTGTACCTATAAACTTGATGATAATGATATAGCGTGTTATTTTAATTCGTCGTATTATTAAACCACGCGCGTAAACACGAATTTAATCAAAAAAAGCCGACAGCGCGACAAAAACATGTTTTCTTGAGAAAATATGTATGGGTATGTTTTAAAAATTATATATTATCTCACTCCTTTTGGGTATATTAAAAGGGAAACACGAGTGGATCATGAAAAACATGTTAATTAAAGTCATTCGGCGCGTATTACCCTTTTTCGCGCACAGAGATAATATACCACGGTCTTATATTGCATTGTTATCCCATTGTGTTTCACAGTGGCATTGAAAATCGTGGAAAAACCTCGACGACGCGTACCTATATCGTGTTACCGTCGCAGTTAACGTTTCTCACCTTAAACCCCAATCCGTAATTGATATTATTTAATGCTGCTGATTAAAGAAATATAAAAAAAAATAATAATAATAATAATTTCCACCGCAAGCGCGATCAGTGGTATAACTCGGCAGATATTTTGCCTAGGTATATAGGTATACATATTATAATGTGGGAGGCACATACAACACACGTCGTCCACCTTGCTCAGAAAAGCCAAAAGGAAAAGAGACACGCGCTCCTCGCGAGACCGCATTCCTGAGGGCCCGACTCGACGCCGCCACACAGCAGTGCCTGAGAGTTTTAAAAGCGCTTGTGTATACATATACGAGCGGACGTAGCATACATACGTACACACGCACGTGTGTGTGTGGTGTATATATATATATATATANTCTCTCTCTTTCTCTCTCTCTTTCTCTCTCTCTCTCTCTCGTTTCCACCGCCACGCGCGCACACACACACACACAAATTTCACCTGCCGTGGGTACAGCTCGACGTGCTCGTTCGAGCATGGCCGACTATATATGTACGTGCATGCACGAGCGTAACTCCCGGGCGAAAGGTGGACGCCGTTTGCTGGGCAGCAAGTGTATACAGAGCATAATTATTACAGCTCTCTATATTTGTATCGGTTAATATAATTGTATAGGTGTACTTAATTGTTGGTCTCTGCGTGGAAAAGTTGTCCAACATTAAGATCTTTTATGTTTATTGTTTTTGTGATTACATTATTTACGGGTGGGATGACAAATTGTTTTTTTTTACCCAATAGGTAATAGGTACTTTGAGCACGTCGCTGATGGTATAGCAAAAAAAGTTGTTGGCCGACTCTGATGGATCCGGCAAATACTAAACTTATAATGTATTGCAGAAAAAAAAAAAAAAAAAATTAAGCGGCCTATCATCATCATCATCAGCAGCGGCACATTACGCGCGCACCAGGTCAATGAACGCCTCCTCTCTCATTGGGTTTGCAAATTCCACGTTTCAATTGTGGGCCGACCTTTACTTTCTTCCTGACCTCATCTTTTTACACGAGATATATATTACACATATATACGTATATAATTATATATACCATACGCAAACGCGCGCCCAGTGTTTCAAGTGTGCATGTATTAACACAAACGCACACACACAGGTTTATCGGGTAGTGTACTCAACTCGACTCGATTCCACTCCACTAAGTGTATATTATATTATCTCTCTCTCTCTCTCTCTCTTTCTCTCTGACCAGCTGTGCCTGAGAGAGCTCTTTCTCTCTGATGTAGTTTATTTTATATTATCCAAGAGAGAGAGAGACCTTTCGTCGCGATGGTTCGCTACTGTTTGCCTTCCAAGTGGCTGTTACATTTGTACATACGTACCCCCTGCGATATATTTTCGTTTTATTAGCCCAACCATCAATTCGTCTCTTTTATCCTCAAGACTCGACATCAAATGATGCAAGTGATGGACATAAAAAGCAGCTAAAGCGTCGAGCATATAAGTACCACAACCAACGCGTATACACACGCATACCGAGAGGGTTCGGATCACTTGCTCGCTCGACCCACTTGGCACGGGCCGAAAAGCGGAAGCAGCACCAGAAAAGAGAAGTACTTATATACACACACGCTCTCTCTCTCTCCCTGATGGGGACGGGTCGCCACCACCCACCCACTCTACTGACACCGGCGATAATTAAGATAAGCTCGAAAATTCGACGAGGGAAGTAGCCGTGCTCTTCTTGGCTGGAGTGTGGTTTTGCTACCCCTTTACTCCTGTGGCCGCCTCTTGGCTGGTTTGCTTGCTCCCGAGTAACGTGGGGGTTTGGTTACCACGAACATATAGTTTTGCTCCTCCTAATGCATATGGATAAGAGATGCGATCGCCGATGTAACCCCGGGCAGGGGGTAGGGATTAATCGGTCCTTCATTGCACGTGAAATCATCACTGTTGTAATGATTTCGTTTCGGAGGGTGGATTTTAAATTAAAACGATTGCGCGATGAGAGGGACGGAGCTTTGGATAAGAACGGAGATTTTCAACCAAGACTTTCGAAGGATTATATATATTTTGTTTGTACCATCGGGTTTCAAATTCAATGACGCTCCGGTGGTATAATGTACATGTACGGGAGCACGGGCTGCAGCGGCATCGCGACTGTAAACTGTGAAAACTAGACTTCCTCCTTCGAGTCGGAAACTTTCTCTTCGGCGAAGCAACGACCGGGCCATAACGGAGGCAACGGCGCCGTTCTCCCCCTTCTATATACGTGTTTATTCGTTGGCGCGTGTGTATATTCGCGCACGGCCTCGTAATTTTTGCTAATTTTTTTGCCCCCTTGGCTCTTTTTTTATATGGAGCCAGACTCCCGGGTAACTCGCCTTGGACCACCTAGACATTTTTGCGTTGTTTTCTCTGCTCTTCCTCTCTCTCTCGAGTTTCGACGCGTTCGACATTCTATTTTTTTCTACAGATAATGTAGCTCTACACGTTGCTCTGATAAAAGCTTATCTTAATGTATAACAGTCGGCATACTTTGAGCGCCCAAGTCGGGTTTATCGACTCGAATTGCGTTCAAATTAAAAAAAAAAAAAAAAAGACAGAAAAATTCTAGTTCAACCGTTTATAAATCAAATCGATGCATTCATTTCTCATGGGCTAATTACATTTCCTGTATCTTTGATGTGAATTGGATGTCGATACAACAATGTTCTTTACAACTACTGGAGAACTCTCGAAAATGACTCAGGGAGAGATCTCAACTTGTTAAACTATAAGACAAATAATATAAGTAGTCCAAGGTACATGGTGCTACTATTGTATCCCAAGTCGTAAATCTCGTACCTCGACGGGAACTCCCCCGAGAGCAACACGGAAGTCGCGAACAATGCGATAACTATAGCCGAGGGATAAACCATCAAGTACCAGTGTATATACCCGAAAAAACAAATCTATATGTATAAGTTGCTCGTCGACAACTAATATTAACCGGATTTTATGCCAATGCCAACATGGCAGCGGCAGTAGGTATACACTTGCACCCATATACGCACATCGCACGAGAGTAGTAAGGAACTAATGTTTCTGCTCTTATAAGACAACCTTCGCAATCTCCGCATGCAAAACGTATACATATAAGAGCACATTGTAAGCCAACTGCACCAAGACATCAGTCGCTTATGGTAATTGAAGTTAATTCAACAACCATTACAGAATAGCGGACGAAAAAACACTCGCGTCGACCTCTTCCCTGACTTTGAGGTTATGTTAGCTTGTACGATCTGTGTGCACTATTCAGAGAAAAAAACTCGTGCGTGTGATACATACGAAGAAAAACAAAACGACTGAACCGCAGCTGATACAATCATGATGTAACGTAGACAATGTGCGCTTACCTTTGATTAAAAGAGAGTGACGAAGCAACCGAATAGACACACTCCGGGGGCGTCGAAGAAAAAAAATATTGTTGTTGGTATAATATATATACAAGAGCAGGTAGCGTATATACTCGCGTTCGACTCAGCGCGCACATATACAGGTACAAAACGTACGTATGTATGTATGTATCTCTCTCTTCTCTGCAATCCAATATCAAACTAGTTGTATCTCTGCGTTTTCCCCACCGCTGCTTCTCTTTTTGGGTACAGCTGCAGAGAGCAAACTGCAACACGGTACAATGAACACACCAAAAGTCACAAGTAATTTACTTTATAATAAGTACTCTCGAAAAAAGATTGTCGTCGTCGCCGCCGCCGACTCGGCTTAATCAATTAAAAAGAAGTCTCTTCGATATATCACAAATATATATATATATATATGTATATATGTATGTATGTATGTATGGAACGGCGGCGATACTGCAGCTTCGTCGGTAATATCCTGATGCTTGTTCTTCTATATACGGCTACGGCGCTCTCTCTCACACACACACATACACACACACTGTGCTCCGGCGAGTACTCCCAAAGTATATATCTTTTTTCAATTTGTAATTGTAACTTTTGAGATATTGTTGTCGATTAAAAAAAGATTCGCGTTAGGTAATGTAAGTATAGGATATGCGGATGTGTGAAGAGTAGCGAGTGCGCGCTCTCTCGCGACTGTGAGGTTGCCAACTTCGACACTTTGCCCGTGCATATGCAGCGATCATGCGATGCGAGAGAGATAAAAGATATTTTATATATATGTATGTATAAACAAGCGACGCCACTACCACTGTGGGAAATATTTTTGTGAAAACGAGTATATATTATGTCACTAGCTAGAAATGATGTGCACCCAACCCAACGGTGTGCGCATTACCTAGAAACATCGCCTGTTTCAAATGAGGGTTTCGAACACTGTTATAGAGTTGGGTAAACCACATAGTTACCAGCACTGATGGGACTCTGCAGCAGCGGTTAGCCCGGCAACGCGTATATTTAAATCCTGATGCGCTTTAAAAATCAGATGAAAATGGACATGAGAGAAAAAAAAACTCAAAGTCACTGATTGTTACAACTGAAATGAAGAGTATTTTAATTGTGTTAAATGCTTAACGTTTCGATCAAATGAATGTCTTTTCGTACGAACAAGGGGAAAAACAAATACCTATTTTACCCACGTTTGAGCTTTAGTTCGATTGCCCTCTGGTAATTGAGCTTGGCTGAAGGTGTGTTTACATGAACATTGCAGAGCAAAAAATCATATATGTTTGTAATAAATATTTTTTATTCCGAGTAGCGTGGCAGACTAACGTCTGAATCTACCTTTTATTATACAACAATTTTTATTTTCATTAAACATCATCCACTCGGTTTGTTTGCGGAGTTGTAAAAGTAACAATTAATTAGATCCCGCTTGTATAACTCGGTTACTTTGCTATCTGGGCGGTCGTGCAAGCAGCGAGCGGATGTGTGTTTTTAATTTGAAAATGGAGCACGTACGCACGCATAGAACGTGGGTGTGTATTCCTATCTATCTACAAGTAACACACACGAATATCGTGGCGCGTGAATTTCGGTAATCAACGGTATATCGTTATTCATCGATCACAAATAAGGTCGGTGATTAAATTAGTATAAAATCAATTGTTAACCATTATGTTGTTACAATAGGCTTTTCAAAAAAAAAAAAAAAAAAAGTGTACACGTGACGTTTGTATAAGAAGGTGATCGGATCGGTATAGCGTGCGATCAATATAATTACGAGAGTAAAGCTTCAACAGCTCTCTCGAATAGCGATACGTATGAAATTCCGAAAAACCTTAAGACGCACAGGGTTTGAATCATCCGCATGAATCCGATACCATCAGCGCGAAACAAACTTCTGTTTTCACACTGATACATGGGACGTGATTGGTAAAGCGCGACAACATCCTTGCCCCGTTGCCCCCCTCGATCGCCAAACTGTTTTTTTCAAATCTTGAAAGAAAAACAGAGACTCCGGGAGTATCGATCATTGTCTACCGCACTGTCAACGTCCCTTTATCATGCCATACGTATACGAAGTACGAAGTTTATCCGGAACAAGAGTCCAGAGAAAAAGAGAGACGAGGCGATGAAAAAAACACCCTACCTCTGCGTCCCACGAGCTCGACAAGGACGCAACGTCTCGAGACGCGTCATACACACCAACTCGATCTCGCCCTCTCTTCCTCTCCTCAATATATCTGAAGTACAGTATAGTAGCGTGTGGCGCAGGAAAAGCCAAGAGCTCGTCGTCCACCAGTGCCCTGCTGGAAGCGGAGCAAAAAAAAACGGCGTCGGGGCAGATAGGTATACCCCGGGCGAGCGCATATAAGTACTACGGTAAATAAGTGTATATAATAGGTATATACACACCGAGAGGCGAGAGAGAGAAAACGGCAAATGTCAAGCTTGTATCGTCAGCCCGACCGACGTTGTCCCGTCGTTTATGACGAATGACGAGCCGCACGGCGCTTAACCTCCTGCAGTGACACGGTAACGCTTGGTCGTAAGATATTGTGCGCGCGTGCTCCAACGCCCTGGGGAAGAGATCGTCGTCGGCGCGTCATCATGGACGGACGCCAGGTAAATTGAAAGCTGTACATCTCTTTGATCGGGCGTTTCAACTCGACCGAAGCCGACGATGACGCTTCGGTGGAGAGGCAACACCCCCTTGTTCTGTATGTATCTCTGGTGTGACTGATGATGGTTTGATTTTTTTTGGTGCGATAGGTGAGGGCCTTGTATGACTTTTCCGGGGAGGCCGGCTCGGCAGAGCTGTCGATAACCGCTGGCGAGGTGCTCACTGTCATGAGGGACAACGTGGGGGACGGCTGGTGCGAGGGCCACAATCAGACGGGCCAGTCGGGGCTCTTCCCCGCGGCCTACGTCCAAGTTATCGAGGCCACGGCACCGACGACAGGTACTTTGTGCTTCACTACGTTTTTTCTTCCCTTTCATGGTTTGTATACTCATGCACTTTGGGACTCGTAGGGCTTCTCGCTTTGAAGGTTTGCTATACCTACAGTTTGTTTTGTCAGTTGTCGCGGGAGTGATTTTTCTTTCTTTTTTGTTTGCGAGATCTTGTATCGGGAAGGTTTTTGCTCGTGTTGTAATTAAAGATAAACTTTGGCGCAGTGTCTGTTTTTATTTCATACTTATTTGCATGGGAAGGTTTGTTCTTATACAGAACCAACATGTAGTCTTTTGTCCCAACTTACAAGTGTAGAGATGCGATAAAAAATATGTGATTGGTTTCAGTGAATTTAATAGAAAACACTTTTTTCTTGTGTGTACACGCGAATACTGTTTACAATGCAGAAGATAACAACGCTAGCAGCAGTCACATTTTTTTTTTAATTTCAGTTTACTCTTCAGATTATACCGACAAAATTGCCAAATGTATTAAAAACAACAACGATTGCTCGTAAAGACGATAGCTGTAATTATTCAAGGAAAAACTTACTTGGCGATTAAATTTTTATTGGCCAACTCGGGTTACTTAAAGACATTTCGTTTTAAAGTTGAAATCTAATATAAAAGTAAATTTTTTACCAATCATCCAAATGATAATGCTTCTATTTCCGTTACATCGTTGCTTTGTCGATGGATATTTTTAAGCTAAACGTCATTAATTATACTTTTAAGTCATGAATCTTCGGCAGTATCAGAGAAATCCTTAGATAACAAAGTTGTACATTTCTTAGGGCTGTGAATTGAAAAATCCAAAAACACAAAGCTTATCAAAAACAACAATAATGTGCGTTTTAGTTGATTTACAAAAATTACTAGCGATTGAATAATTTTTTTCAAATAAAATATTATTGTAAAATAAAAATAACGATGTATTCTCTGTAATTTTACTTACTATGTTCTAACCCTTCGTCTACGCATTTCCGGCTAGTTTGATTAAAAAAAAAATTTCTCAAAGTATACGTGTCGCGTGTAAAGTATAAGCAGGTGCTTACGGCATACACATGAGTCAAACCAAGTGCATTTATTAGCTTCACCTCGTAAACGTACCGTTTTCACTTTTCATCTGAATTTTTCCTAATCAAGATCATAGCGCGCCACCAGTCACTTTCACGTGACACAAATATAAATGCCAATATGTGTTATTATCAAACGTAAAAACGCTCGATAATAGCTCAGAGAGCTATTATTCTATTCTAGTGTTTTTTTTTTTTTTTTTCATGTAATAAAGTGGAATTCAAATATTAAAATGTTAGAAACCTACGGTATCCAAGGAGAACTCCAATATCACCTTGGTATGCGGAATTATTTTTCTTATCAGCCTTCGTATATTTCCGTTTTATATTATAATAATAGTACCGAAGTGCAATTTTCACGCAACATACATCAAGTATACAACGACCATTCGGATAAAAAGAAATAATTATTCTGGTTTGAGCTTTAGTTCGATTGCCCTCTGGTAATTGAGCTTGGCTGAAGGTGTGTTTACATGAACATTGCAGAGCAAAAAATCATATATGTTTGTAATAAATATTTTTTATTCCGAGTAGCGTGGCAGACTAACGTCTGAATCTACCTTTTATTATACANATAATAATAATAATAATTTATTATCGACGAATCATCATATGTTCCAGGCAATTTAGCAAACTCGGTTCAAAGCTCGGGCGACTTCTGGGACGACGAGTGGGACGATGACTCGGAAATCGGGCAGACGCACGCGTACGTGCCCCCGATCCAGCAGCAGCAAAGCCTCCAGTCTGCCCAGTCGGGCAGCATAGATTACCACAACGACCTGCCAATCCACGCGGTGCACTCTATTATACCCGAGCGCTCGATCCCCAACGTACCAAAGAAAAACAATAAGTTCAGCAATCTGGTCAAATCCGGTGAGGAGAGCTTTCTGCTGAGCTCGAAAAAGGTCATCGTGCCCGAGTCCGAGAAGATATTCGTCGAGGAGATCGAGAGCGGAAGGTTCAATTGGGCGGAGACGGGGGAGAGCTACAACTGCGTGGTCACCTCGCCCAAAAAGGAATCCAAGCTCAAGGGCTTGAAAAGCTTCATTGTGTACCAGCTCACTCCTACGGTAAGTCGAATCAACGAGCCTATTGACGAAGATGAATAAAAACAAAGACTCTAGTATGAACGAACGAGCGATCCCTTTTGCAGTTCAACAATATTCAAGTGTCGCGGAGGTACAAGCACTTTGACTGGTTGCACGAGCGCCTGGAGGAGAAGTTCTGCTTCGTTCCGATACCACCTCTGCCGGACAAGCAGATATCCGGACGGTACGAGGAGCAGTTCATCGAGCACCGGCGTACTCAGCTCCAGGAGTTCGTCGACTACGTGTGTAGGCACCCGGTGCTGTCGCGAAGCCGCGTCTGGCAGCACTTTATCACCTGTACGGATGAGAAACGCTGGAAGGCTGGTAAACGGGCTGCCGAGAAGGATGAGCTGCTCGGGGTCAACAATTTTTTTGCGATAGAGTGCCCGGACACGCCGCTCGATGCCATCAAGATCGAGTTCCAGACCGATGCCTTTGCCAAGTACGCACTATACAAATGAGGGGGAAGGGGGATAGAGACCACCGACTCTATGGAGTTATTTCGTTTTTACGTGAAAAAAATCTTTCATGGATGAATTTTTCGTGGTTTTAGATTCATATCAGGGCTTGATCCAGTAGTGAAGAACTTCACGGCGATGGCGACGGACCAGGCCAAGAAGCACCAGGTGTTGTATAGGAGGGAATTTCAGAAAATCGGCTCGTGCTTCGGAGCCTTGAGTCATGCCTTAGAGGCCGACGATGTGGGTCGTTCGCGTAGTCAACTCACAAAGGCACTCAAAGACACGGGGGATGCTTACAACGAGATCGGAAAATTGTATGAGGAGCAGCCCAAGTTCGACTGGGAGCCTTTGGCCGACAAGTTTCACATATACCGGGGGATCGTCATTGGCTTCTCCGACGTCGTTGGTATTCACAAGGTATATACGCTTTTCTTGCTGTTGTCTGGTGTATTCAAAAGTTGCTGGGATATTTTTTATTTTTTCATTGATCATGAATTAATATATATATATTGTCAAGCTTGTATCGTCAGCCCG